GTGAGTCTGTCCAACCCCACCGCAAACTCTCCAAGAGACTCACAGCTTTTGCCCAGAGCGGGTTTGCAGGCTGGAGCTGTCCCCATGCCTGGGCTACGTTCTGGGGAGCTCCGGGCCAGGGAACTCTGAATTTTGCTCTGCAGAGCCTGCAGTCACAGGCCAAGGCTGCTGCTCCAATTGCCACATTTCCTGGGCCCTGGTGCCTCCCATGACAGGGTCAGGTGCATCCCCAGTGTCCTGCTGTCCTGCCAGTGCCGATCTCCCAACCGCCACCCAAAGCCCTGAAGGGTGAACCCCACCCCTCCCACAGCCATTGCCCTGAAAGCAGTGAACCACAGCACGAGCTGTCCTTGCGCAGAGCCTTGGAGCAACTGAAGGGGGCGAGGGGAGTCTCTGTGACCACCCACGAATGCACTCACATTCTTTGGCCAATGATTCTTTCACCCATTCCCCGGGGAAGTCACTGAAATCCTGGATGCTGAAAGTGGCGGGGGCTGCTTCTCCTTCTCCTAGACCCCGGCTTCTAGACTTTTCCCACTCGACCCCACTTCACCAAAAAAAAACACAATGCAGGTGCAAACGCCTTGGATTCATTACACACTTGTTTTTGTATCTACTTTTGGTCACTGCACAGGCAGAAACGTTGTACTGTTGGTTGTCCCATTTTTGCGACCTCTCTCCCCATTCATTTCTGCAATCCCCCATGGGGTCCTGAGTCACAGCTTAAGCCCCAGGACTCAGATCAGCCCCCGCCCAGACTGAGGCAGGCATTCAAAGCCCCTCATTAGGCCTCTCTTAGCAGGCAAACCAACACCATTAATCTTTGTAAAGTGAATGAAAGCACATTCAGCTGTCCGAGCAGGAGAATTAATGTTGTGTCAATAGGAAATTCATGTTTACCTCTGGCCTTGACATCTTTCCTTTGCCGCGGAAGCCCAGATAGACCTGGCCAGAAGCAGCACTGAGAGAGGCTGCCTTGGGCCCTGACCATGTGTGGGGACAAGGCGGCTGGCGCCAGGAGAGTCTACTGAGAAGGGGCTCACAGAGCAGGAAGAGGATGGGGAGTGCTTGGGGACTCTTGAGGGTTTGGGAGGTACTGTTTACTGAGTATCTACTGAGTGCTAGGCACTCTGCACTGACGTTCTGTGAAACGCTACGAGGAAGGTGTTCTACTTTCTTGCAGATAAAGATGCTGCAGGAAAGCAGGTTAGCAAGGCCACACACAGGGGATGTGGATATGGGTCCAGCTCTGACGCCAAAGTTAGGGTTTCCCTGGGTAATCATTACGTACTTGCTTCCCAGGAAGTGATTCTCCTGACCTGTGTCAGTACGATGGGTCAAATGTCATGGGTCTGACCTGTGTGACAGCCCTTCTGGGTCCTGCCGGTGCCCTCCCCCCAGTCCCTCAGGAATGCCCCGATGCTGGGGGCAGGGAGAGGCAGGGCTGGGCAGCCCTGGAGAGGGTGTGTGCGCCTGTGTGCACAGAAAAGAAAACCAAACAGGCCGATAAGGCCTCTCATTTCCAGCGCAAGCACCAATTAAACACGAGGCAGATGTGAGCAAATAAAGCTGTGGCGTCTAGAGAGAAAATCAATACTAGATTATATGCCCCAGCCCAATCATATAACGATTAATAGTGAGTGGGTGGGGCTGGGCGCAGAGGGAAGATAAGCGAGGGGCCGGCAGGAGGGCCTGACCCTATGCCCCCGCCCCCGGCCCCCCAGCTCCCACGGCGGGTCTCCCAGCTTGACCTAAAAGGGCTGAGGGCTCGGGGCACCTGTGTGAGTGGTCGGGAAGGTAGATAGGTGGTTGGGAAGGAAGGAGGCAAGCAAAGCGGAGACGCTTTGGAGGGTGGGACCCGCTGGAGGCACAGGCTGCCATCATGCAGGTAGGAAATGGGGTTACACATGCAACCCCCCCACACACATACACACCATAAAATAAAATAAAGCAACAGCACAGGACCAGCCTTTGGTCTGGGAGATCAGGCAAGGGGCACTGTTGTGGCTCAGTGGCAGGGATGAGCCACACACGGGGAAGGTCCTGGGCTCAATCCCTGGTACCAAAACTTAAAGACAACCAGGAAATTAAAAAGTATTAAGGGGGAAAAGGAAACGAGGTGAAAAATCAGAAAATAAATGATCTTCTTACCCCACCAAAGAAATGATATTGAAGTCCCTGTTTAATTCTGCCCATGTTTTACTTAGTTCAGAAAGTTCATCGTGCAGTGGGTGTCATTTTCAAGAGGGGCGACAAAGGACAGTGGCACAGGTTTGCGGGTGTGGGACGGGATGGGCATGGGGTGGAGGGGCTGGGGGGTGGTGGTGGCGGGGAAGGTCTCCAGCCAGTGGTCTGGAGGCTCCTCTGCAGGGTGCCAGGGAGGGGGCAGTTTATGGAGTTCGGGCGCTGGAGGGAGGCATCTGCGGGCTGCCGACGTGCTGCTGCCCTGCAGAGACCTGGCTGCACGCTGGCTGCCCACCCCAGGACAGTGACTGCCGCTCACTGGTGCCCGTGCGGGGGTGGACATGGCTCAGAGCGAGAGTGCCCTTCCACAAGCACCCCCAGGCTCAGAGGACAGCAAGACAAGGTGCAGGAAGCAGAGAACGAAGGGGCAGGAGGGCAGAGCTGCTCCCCTGCCCCGAGCAGCCCTCCCGGCACCCTCCCCACGCCCCTCTGCCCAAGAGGCCTTCTCTGAATGTGAGCTCTGTGGACCCAGGGCTGTTGCATGCCAAAGAAAAACGAAATTTGCTAGCCGAATATTTTTTAGACATTTTGCAAGATGCACGGCCTCCCTGACAATTTTTAATGTACTAACTGCCTGGTCCAGTGAGCTGATTAATTGGTGCTGGAGAGATCAATAAAAAACAGAAAATTAAAACAATTTTAAAGTGATTAAGTAGTTTAACACCTGTCTCCCGTCACGTCAGCGCAGGAAGAAAAATAAAGCAGGTGTCGAAGGGGCCTCTCAGAGCAAGAGAAAACAGCGCTTGCCGCGGAGAAATGACAAATCACAGCTGGCGGATCAATCTGCGTGCAGGGCTGCCCCGCGAGCTGCATCCCTGGGACGGACCCTCAGGCCAGCCACCCCCGCTGGCCGCTCCCCTCCTGGGAACGAACAGGGCTGCCCGCCCAAAACAGAGGGTGGGGGGGGAAGGGCCACAGATCTTGGCCTGGGACACTGGTAGGGTCCGATGGGAAGGGGCAAGTTAACCTCCTGAGCTCATTCCTAGCCGGAGTGAGTCCAAGCATGTGGAAAGGTCAGTGTGATAGAAACGTATCTGGGAGCCATGGGGCTACACGGAGCAAACCCTGTCATGATTCCCCAGACCTGTCCTGTAGAGAACTTTTGGGTTCTGCCATTTCTACGCAGGGTGAGCCCCCCCAACCTCATCTGCGCCTCCTCCTGCCTGGCTACACCTGGACGAGGTCCCCACAAGTCTCCTGTTCACCGCGAACGCGGGTGCCTGTCCAATGGTCCCTGTCTGCTGTCCCTGCGAGTGCAGGCTTTTGTCCGATGGTCCCTGTTGGCTGTCCCGCGAGCGCAGGTGCCTGTCCTATGGCCCTTAACCATCAGCTGTTCCTTTGAGCCAGTCTCACCTCACCCACCCCCAGCAGCTGTTGGGAAAAAAAAAATACTGCAGTTAGTCACTCCTCAGTTTTGTAATATTTGGCTCAGAAAGTCTCATTATTTTGTGAACCCAAGTGCAGAAAACCTTAGGATAATTCTGTGATCTGTAGAACTGATGACTTAAGAACAGATAATGATTGTGACAGGGGAAGTATAGCGAGTCATTGGCAAAAGCTCCAGATAATGCCCAAGGGAACATCACACCCTTCTAGTTTACCTTCAAAGTGGATCTAAATTTTCCACACCGCGTGCAGACACCCTTGGTGCCACTCAGCACTAGCAAGCTGTCTAGCTTCCTGGCAGAGCATGGCATGGTTAGGGTCACTACTAAACCGAACCCTAACCCTAAAGCCTGGGGGGGGGGGGGCGGGGGCGGGGTTCTGGCTTCCACACAGGCCTGAGCACTTTGGAGGCTCCAGGCTCCTGATTGACCCCCGGCATGTGGACCACACTCCGGGCCCTTGTCTACATCAGCACTGGGCAGGCCACTGTTTTCTCTCTAGCACCCTTTCACCTCCAATGCCTCCAGGAAGCACAGGAGCCTTTGCCCTTAAGACTAGGCAGAAAGGGAATCTGGGAAACAAGGCTTTGCAGGTTTAATGCTTTTTCCCCTCAAACATTCTAAAATACAACTTAGGTAACAAGTGACTAAAAAAGACAAAAGCTTGCCCTGAGGATTTACTAGCAGCCCCACCTCGGAGAGACTTGCTGCTGTCAGTCTCACATAGTGTGAGGGTGTTGGGGCGAAGTCCAGTGCGGCTCTGGCCTGTCCCCTTGCCCCAGCCTCCCACACGGAGCTCAAATCTGCCTCAGTGGCCGAGCTGCTCTATACCAGTCTGGGGTCATGTTAGACTCAACAAAAGAGCGTCCAAAGCTCTTTCACAGCAAATTCCATGCCAGCGACAATTTTCCAATTGGCACAGTTTTTAAAATGATCCCATTCGATCTCCATAAGATAAAGACCATCTCTGAGCATTTTCTCTCCCCAGATCCACTGCTGACATCCGGCCAGAAGCTAGAGAAAGGTCTGCAGGTCCTCACGGGCCCCAAACACCTGCCACCGGGTCATCTGCCCGTCAGTCACCGCTGCCAGGTGAGGTTTGTGCCACCGGAACACTGTGGGGGGTGGGCCCCACACCTCACCACCACCAGTGTCTAGATGGTGCCACAGGCCTGCAGGGTGACTCGGTCTGACTGAGATAAAGTTTCCCTGGGCCCAAGTTCCAAACTCAACTGTTTTGTTTCTGTTAAAATGCAATTGTTTTTCTCTGGAGTGCTCAGCGTCAGGAAGATGTATGAAAACCTCCACTTCAATTCGGCATCCCTTTTCTCCCAGACAAACACGGTCGGATTTTAATAAATCAAAGAGCCACACTGTTTAATAAAAATTTATTGACTTACAAGTGATTATTTATCAAAAGACCATTAATAGCAGGTACTGAAATGATGTGTTACTGGGTGGTGCTGGGAGACTAATAGGAAATCAATGCAGCCGGCCAGCCGGAATGCATATGAGAAGCCCACCCGCCGACAGCCGGCGCAATCTCCCCGGCAAAATACACCAGACGCTAGCCCTGGTGCAATGAAAAGTTCCCCCTTTTTATTTATCGTTTACAAATGAAATGATCAATACTTTTAATCTAGAGCAAAATTTATTAACTTTCCCATCGGAGAGAGACATATTGACTAGGGGAGTTGGGGTGTTAGTGCGACAGAAGATGAATGGGCGAACGGTGGTGGTGGAACCTGTCCCCGAGTCAGTGTGCATGCAGCTGCCCTTCCAGCTGAGGGGCAGTGGGAGAAACGGGGTCTGGCCACCCAAGTAGCACTGCAGGTGGCCGGACACCCCCATGCGCTCAGGGACCTGCAGGATGCATGGTCTCCCCAATCGCGGAGCTTCATTCAGTCACCAGAAGGTAATAGCATGATGTATCAGCCCCCAGAGGCTCGACCGCAAGGCCAAGGGATGCCCCAAGGGCTGCGACAGAACGGGCCAGGACTCTTAGCACTGGCCTGTCCCAGCCTCAGTCTCCCCAATGCCCGCTCCCACCACAGCAGAACAGAAAGCCACAGGGAGCGAACGAGAGCCAAGCCCCAAAGCCAGTTCCACTTCACACAAGGATGTCACCGCAAACTGTTTCGAGCCTGCTGAGCGCGGTTTTGCTGATATTTGCTGATCTTCCTTTGTCAGTGAAATTTTTCTAGTTTTACAGTTTTCCTTCTCTAACTAGTTGGGTTAAGAAAAAAATTTATGAGTGTTAAAAGTCTTTCCAAGTCCCATTCTCAAACCTTTCAATCCCATGGTAACCTAAAACAGAGATCTCGCCCTTACACTTGGCACACACTGAAATTTAGTTCCATGAGCCCCAGTGTTTGCAGGAAGCAACTGGATTCAAACAGACTTCTTTTACTTCTGATGAGCTTAAAGACAATACCTGAACAATGGACTGAAAAATTCACAGAAATTTCATTTATTCATTTTTTGCATTTTGGGTCTCACCCGACGATGCACAGGGGTTATTCCTGGCTCTGCACTCAGGAGTTACTCCTGGTGGTGCTCAGGGGACCATATGGGATGCTGGGAATTGAACCCGGGTCGGCTGCATGCAAGGCAGACGCCCTACCCAATTGTGCTATCTCTCCAGCCCCATTTACAAAAATTTTAGAGATGAAAGTCCTCAGTTAACAAAGGAGGAAACAGAAGGAAATAAGAGTCAAAATAACTGAGTTTGGAGGTGAAACATCACTCACCTGAAGGTGAAACAGAAGCTGGCCAATGTTCTTACCACTAATTAATGCCACTGGTTCAAGTTCATGCCCATCACATCTAGGTTCATGGGAGTGTATACTGTTTATATTGCTTCACAGGCTTCTTTGTCATTAATTCTAAATGCTATAAAGCTTGGCCCCTTAAAACCAACTTGGTTACCCAAAACAAATAATTGGACTGTGAGGGTCACCAATTGAAAAGAATCGAGTAGCCTAATGAATCTGCCTGCCTGTAACAAGCACTAAATAAAAACTTCAAAGATTTCTTTTTGGGGGTGTAATTCACATCCCTTCTACTCACTTGCTAAAAAGAGGAAACTCCCCATTGCTTCGTCTCTACAAGTATTTCTTTACACAGCTGTGACTGTAAGTCAGGTTCTTATAATATTGGTAATGTCATCAATAGTAGATGAGCTGTTGAAGAGATTGTGAGCCAATTATGTATTTCAAAATACCCACGGAATTACATGCCATGAGGTGGATGTACTGAATGGCAAAAAAGACTTTTTAAAGGCAGTTTTGGGCCAGAATGATAGCACAGCGGTAGGGCGTTTGCCCTTGCACGCAGCCAGCCCAGCTGAGCCCGGTTCGATTCCTCCGCCCCTCTCGGAGAGCCAGGCAAGCTACCGAGAGTATCTCGCCCGCACGGCAAAGTCTGAATATGCCAAAGACAGTAACAAGTCTCAAAATGGAGATGTTACTGGGCCCGCTTGAGCAAATCGATAAACAATGGGAGGACAGTGACAATGACAAAGGCAGTTTTAAAAAGAAACTTTCAAGATCAATTTTTAAAGACCGTTAAGATAGACAGTATTTAAACCTTAACTATATCACCATCTACAAAATCTGAAAACCATGATACACAAACATTTTGTATGTTTCTTTTTTATGTAAAACAGTTCTTGACAGTTGTCAATGTTTGTACTTGAAAGAAAACCAACTTCCACTGGTCAGCACCCGGGGTGGAGGTCAGTGTGGGGGTGGAGTCTCAGACAGTGCCAAGGCACAGGACTTGCTGGAGCGGGCTTCGCTCCACCCACACCCCACGCTGCCCGCACAGGTGAGACTGGATGCAGCCAGATAGGCTGTCTGTGCCCCACTGCGCATGTACTCTCTTCAGAAGGGCCTGAGGTTTGCCTATGATTCTCCAGGTGGGCCTCAGGGATGTGGCTCTCTCCGGCTCTGAGAAGTCCTTGAAAGTCACCCACATGCATCAAGTAGCCCCTCCCCACCCGTCACCCCCAGGAGCATCAGGGGCTGCTCCTACTCACCCCAAAGTCTCACGTCCAGATGGTGGCCTCCCATCTCCCACATCCCCACCCTGACAGTGTCATCCACAATTCCTTAAACCCAACGAGGAAGGAAGCCCCGATCTGCTCTGGTCTGAATACTCTAAACTCATGGGGAAGTGTGTGCAAACACCCAGTGTGCACAGTTCACCTGTTTCTGCATAATTTTATCACTCATTCTAGAAGCCAAATGGATTCCCACAGTCCCCGAGTTAAGTTCAAATTAAAGAATTGGAGCTTGGCTGACATAAAAAAACAAAAGCCACTGGTTAAGACCACATCTTGTGGGAGAAGTAAAGGGAGAAATCCCTCAGTTCATTCACCATCAAAGACAATTTTATTGACTCGTAAGAACAAATCCAATGCCGTGAGTGGCAGCTGAGTTCAGCCTCATCCTGCCGCGTCCCAGGAGCCTGCACCTCCAACACCGAGCGCCACCGTCCGTCACGCTAGAGCACTTCAATCCCCACAACCAACCCTGTGAGGTAGGTATTACCACCATCCCCTCCTGATTCGGGTTACAGACGGGGAAACCGAGGCACGTGTTAACAGAGAGCAAGTCACATGGGGGTTGGGGCTTAGCACTGGCATTGGTCCCCTCGCTTCACAGCCCCTGGGGGGACTGTCCATGGGCACAGCACAGGCTGGAGATGGCCTCTCTGCCGAATGCCCTGCAGGTGCATGTTTTGTTTTTCCATCCCATCTGCAGAGGTCTGAGGCTGGGTGAGGTGGGGGTCGTGACAGGAGGGCTGGACCAAGCCCCCGCCTGGCCCCGCCTTGCTCACTGGGGGCGGCCCTCCCCCAGCCCGGCCCTGGCGTGTGTCTCTGCAGAGGAACACCCCAATGTCCAGACACGGCCCGTGACCAACACTCCCGCCACGGCCCGCACGTGCACAGGCGGGCGGACTTTAATGGGTCCTGACAGGCTTACTGGGAGAGAGAAGGCCTCATGTCCGGGGGCGACCCCAGTGGCTCTGAAGAAGCCGAGTCCCACATCCAGAGCAGCCCCAGCGGCCCCAGGTCAAGAAAGGCGGCAGCAGTGGGGGTGGCGGCTCCAGCTGATTCTCTCGGGATTCAGGGCTGGCAGCTTGCGTGCGCCCAGGCCGCTCAGGACCGGCTGCGGTCCTCGTGGTTCCCAACGATCATCTTGCTGTACAGCTTCTGTTGCTCCTCTTTAAAGGTATCCTTCACCTTCTCCCGCTTAAGACCACCATCCCTGAGGAGAGAATAAGGGAGTCTAGCAGCAAAGGTTTCCTCTCAGCTATCAGCGCAGATGCCCATTCTCCTCACACCCCAACCCACATCAGCAGCAGTGGACTCTGTCCCTTGACTCCATGATGCTCACTCCTGCCCTCAGGGCGAAAATTACCAGCATTTAAGGTACTTTGTATTTAAAGTTCTACTCTAACAAATTCATTTCACTTTACAAAAAAAAATGGCGACATATTGTAAGGACAATGATCAATGCTTTTGTCTCTTATGGGCCATGCCAGGTGATGCTCAGGGGTTACTCCTGGCTCTGCACAAAGGAATCACTCCTGGTGGTGCTCAGGGACCATATGGGGTTCCAGGAATTGAACCTGGGTTGGCCGTGTGCAAGACACATGTCCTATCTGCTGTACTATCGCTCCAGCCCCAAGATGAGTCAAATACACATCTTTGTATCTGTAAAACTAATCTGTAAAACAAAATTTCTAACAATCAGAGCAAGAATTCTCCAAGGCTAACAATAGAAAAAAAAAAAAAAACAAGTTCTGCTTTCTTTCACACGAAGGGATGGCAATGTTCAGAGCAAGGGCCGGGTACCCAGCTCCCTCCCCAGACTACACTTGGTGGGACTTCTTCATCCCCTTCACTGACTAATGAAATTCAAGCCTACACTCAATCTTTCTGCCTGAGTTACGGAGACAGTGGTGGGCAAAGTCTCTGAAACCCACCCCGAGACCAATCTCACAGACCTGACAGCTGCCTTCCACTCTAACACCCAGCACAGACCAGACCTGCCACACGCATGCCGCTCTCCTCAGCAGCCCGAGGGTGGGGCCAGGATCGAGAAAAACACTCAGGCCTCGGGCTCCTCAGCCTGACCGCAAGGCCGGGTCCCAGCACTACGCTGTGCCTTAACCTCTCCAAACTCCAGTCTGTCTGTAAAACCCGTGCTTAGACGTCATGGAGTTGTGACGATGAAGTGAGATTATCACACAGAAACTCTCAGCACAGTGTCTGGCAAAGCCAAGCCCCCGACATGTCAGTGTTTTCTGAATGGCCATATCTGAGGGGAGGGCTAAAGAATCCACAGCTCCACAGGCTCAAATTCACTCTCTTTCCTTCTGACGCCCTTCCAGGGAGGTACTTCCAGGGCTGAGCCTGCAAGTTCAAGGGACTGGCCCTGGCTGACCAGCCCTTGGGATGGGGCATCTTAGATATCCCAGTGGTGACCCTGGGAGATGTATGGGACAGGTAGGCGAAACACTACTGACCGTGACTCACACAGACACGGATCTTACTTGCACATGGTCACCCCAGGTTTAACTCTGGCATCCGTCTCATCCCCCGAGCCCCTCCTGGACTGATACCTAAGCACGGAGGCAGGAGTAAGCCCTGAGCACCACTGGGGGTGCCCCCTACCTAAAAAAAAAAATTTTTTTTTAAATGTATTTTAAGGCAAATTTTTCATGATCTCTGTAAGCATTTAGTTACGTGTCCCTGAACTGAAAACTGTGCCAGCAAAAGGTGCTCTGGGTCAGAATCAGAGGAAGGAACCAAGGAGCCCAGTCTGCATAGGAATGGGGACACATTGGAAGCCAGCGAGCCTGCAACACATCAGCAATGCAGGCCCACCCAGACCTGTGTGCAACAGATCAGACTCACCACAGAAGGTCGACAAGTCCTCCCTGCCGGGCAATGGCCGACTTCACCCTGTTCGCAAACTGGACAGCATCTTCGTCTGCCTGTAAGAGAGAGCAGGACATCTGGGCCACGGCACAGCCGGGCCCTGCCGCACAGACCAGGCCTGCTGCAGCCTTACCTCTCGGGTCATGGGAGGCAGGTACCACACGCTGCAGACGATGGCCCAGCTGGTCATCATCCTCAGCAGGTACGTCACCATGCCATACTTGCTGCTGTTCCAGAAGGCATCACCGAACTGGGGGTCGTACTGAAAACACAGATCAATAGAATCACTGGGTAGCTCGGGGGGAGGGGGGGGGCAGGGGCTGGGTGCCCACGCAGGGAGCACTAGTGATTGCTGCCCGGAAGTGAGCACTGCTGAATCACTCTGGCTGCTCTGACTCCAGCAGCACCAAGTTCTCCGCAAGATTGGGAGGGCTTCCCAGCAGGTTTCCTCAGGGCTCCTTCTCCCTCTGATCATCTATATACAGAACCACAGGCGCATGAAAATCCTATTACCACAGTTTTTAAAAATAGCTCAAAACAGGTTACTATCCTGCCAGATTCCCTAGATTAAAAAGTTCCCAACATTTCGCCATTCATGCTTCATCTAACTCCTCCCCTCTCAGAGATTCTCTCCACGTACTTATAAATACTTCATGTACCTCCCTCAAATATATTTTCATACATAATTATGGAAGTTTTATTATGTTTGGGAACCACAGTCAGTGGTTCTCGGGGTTTATTCCTGTTTATGCACCCAGGTATCACTCCTGGTAGGGATCAGGGACCACATCGGGTGCTGGGAATTGAACCAGAATGGCTGAGTGCAAGGCAAGCACACTACCCTCTGTACATTTTATTTGCTCCAGAACAAATAATTACCAACTTTGAAATTTAGTATTTCAGAGAGGAGTCTTTCGCTTAGAGATTATTTCATCAAAATAGCAATGAAATTTCTCAAAGTCAGATGACTTGCATTTTGATAGAAATGCAATAAAGGTTGGCCATTAATGGGTATCATCAATCACAAAAATTAAAATTCTTACAAATTAATTTTTTGTGGGCTTTAATATGTGAATGTATGAAATTGGCAAATTTATACTTTGGGCTGGGTGTGGTTCCAAGTCACGTCAGCAACACCCGGGAATGGGTGAGGGATGCTGATCCAGGAGCTCTGGGCATAGGTCTCGAGAGCCACATCTTCACTATACACCCTGGTGACGCTTGACGCAATGAAGCTTCAAGTGTAATTCCCTGGAGTAAGCACTGAGGGCTCCTGTGTAGTAGCTGGTTTCTAGCAAACACATATGGTGACTCACTGGACCGTTAATATACTGAAATGCAGAACGGCATGTCTGTGAGTGATGCAGACACCACTTCCGACTGCGACATCTAGGCGAGACAAGGCCTGCGTTTCTTCTCGTTCCACACGCAGCCAGGGTACAGTCACCCTCTCACCTCTGCTCAGCTGCCACCCCCACCTGGGAAGAGGCAAGCGGCATTTCCTCTGCTCTGTCGGAAGGAACAGCTCAATTCCGGCTGCACCAGTGGCACTGCCCGACAGAAAGCAGTATTTCCACGAAATGCTTCACAGACAACAGACTGGCAATAGGAGGAAGACTAATTTTAAGCACAACCAAATCAAATGTACTCATTCTTTACCATGATCTGAGGTTTCAATCTTTTGTGTTTTTAGAAGTGATAATGTAACTGATCTTTCTTCATACCAGTACATAAAGGATGAATCTGTTCACATCAGGGTGATGTGAAGGGGAAGAGAGTGAAATGAAAGGGGAAACTGGTCAGTCGTCTGACCCCCAACTGTTGAGGCAAGTTCTGAAAGCAGAGGCATACATTCCTAAAACATGCAAGTTTTGCTTTGTTGTTTTAGGATCTTTCTGAGGGTGTTCATGGTTTACTCCCAGTGTTCGAGGGCTCTCCCAGGGGTACCCATAGAAACCAACAAGTTCAGAATTTCTAAATTTAGAGTACTTTTTAGTGATTCTAAATTCCATGTTTTAGAAATTCTATGTGTCTTGGTTTGTAGAAGTTGGGGGGTTCCCCTCCATGACAGTGAAGCTAAAAGCATCTTTAAGGATGAAAAACCACTGACCAAGCAAGTGGAAACAAATATAAACAAATGGGACTACATTAAACTTCTGCACCTCAAAAGAAACAGTGACCAAGATACAGAGAAAGCCCCAGAATGGGAAATATTTACCCAATATCCATCTGATAAGGGATTAATATCCAGAATATATAATACACTAGTAGAACTGTACAAGAAAATAGACCTCCAACCCCATCAAAAAATGGGGAGGAGAAATGAATAGAAGCTTCCTCAAAAAAAAAAATACAAATGGCCAAAAGGCACATGAAAAAAATGCTCTACATCGCTAATCATCAGGGAGATACAAATCAAAAACAACACTGAGATATCATCTCACACCACAGAGACTGGCACACGTCAAAAAGAACAAAAGCATCCAGTGCTGGCATGGGTTTGGGGAGAAAGGGATGCTCTTTCACTGTTGGTGGAATGCCGACTGGTCCAGCCTTTCTGGAAAACAATATGGACATTCCTTTAAAAAGTAGAAATTGATATTCCATATGACTCCATAATACCACGTCTGGAAATATATCCCGAGGGTGCAAAAAAGCACAGTAGAAATGACATCTGCACCTGTATGTTCATTGTAGCACTGTTCACAATAGCCAAAATCTGGAAACAACCTGAGTGCCTGAGAACAGATGACTGATTAAAGATTAAACTTTGGTACATTTACACAATGGAATACAATGCAGATGTTAGAATAGATTAAGTTATGAAATTTGCTTATAAGTGGAAGGTCATGGGAAGTATCATGCTAAGTGAAATGAGTCAGAAAGAGAGGGACAGACATAGAAGGATTCCACTCATTTGTGGAATATAAAGTATCATAATATGAGACTGACACCCAAAGACACTAGACACAAGGGCCAGGAATATTGCTCCATAGTTGGAAGCCTGTCTCATGAGCTGGGGGAGAAGGCAGCTGGGATAGAGAGGGGATCACTAAGTCAATGATGGTTGGAGGAATTGTTCAGGATGGGAGATGCGTGCTGAAAGTAGATAAAGGACCAAATGTGGTAGCCTCTCAGTATCTATATTGCAAACCATAATGCCCAAAAGTAGAGAGAGAGTATGGGAGAAACTGCCATAGAGGCAGGGGGAGGGTCGGAAAGGGTGGGGTAATACTGGGGACATTGGTGGTGGAGAATGTGCATTGGTGGAGGGATGGCTGTTTGATCACTGTATGACTAAAGCTCAAACATGGAAGTTTTGTAACTGTATCTCATGGTGATTCAATAAAAAAAAATTTTGAAAATTAAAAAAAAAAAAAAAAGAAGAAGTTGGCAGTTCCATATGGTACCAGGGATTGACCCAAGGTCTTCCCACATGCAAAGCATACACTCCAGTCTTAGAGTTACCTCCCTGGCCCGGTCTTGCCATTTCTTAAACATGGTGGCAGTGTATAGCAGTGGACAACAGTCCCTTGTAATGGGGCTAAAATGATTCGGACCCTCCCTCCCTTCACCTTCTCCCGCTGCACTCCGTTCAGGGCAGTGAGCTAGTGCCACATGCACCCTCGGAGATCTCATACCTTGATAGCGACAGGGTAAACTGTGGCTCCAATTTCAAAACTTCCCTTTTTGAACATCATCACAGACGTATTATTGATGCAGGTTCCTAAAATGCAGGAGAGAGTAAAATTCTAATTTTTTAATGGTCCTTTGCTCCAGGTATTAAGAGTTTAAGAACTAAATAATAAAAACGTTCTAATGACTTCCATCAATCTGTCCTCCTCCAAGCTTACGAACACTTAAGGCAAGGCGAGGTGAGCGAAACACAACGCTTTCGAATCTTCTGTTCCCAGAGCACTTTCCCCAATCAGCATACTGCTCAACAGCTTCGTCAGCGATACTTCCAAGGATTCTTCCAACAGGGAAGATCACTCCATCATACTTAATCCAAATTCTGAATTTCCCTGAAATTCAGCTCTTCGTCCAAATTAAAGTGGACTTAGTATCACTCAGTGAAAATAGAAAACCCCAAGAAGGGTTAAATTTGATTTTACCCTTGATTTCGCAGCAACACTAGAGTAACACCTTTCACGACCCCCGACCCCCAGAGTGTAGAATCAACCCTTTTTACCTTCAGGGAAGATGAGGATGGGCAGTTTGCTTTTATCCTGCACATGCTCGGTCAGTCTTTAGCAGAGGAAAACAACAGTGAAAGGTCAGAGTCCTAGCCCATCATGATCTAATGCATGCACAACAAGTCGATACATATATAGTGCTAGATGTGGCACAAGAGCAGGTGAAAAAATGTGATCCCATTTTGTTTCCGGGCCACACTCGGCAAAGCTCAGGGCTTCCTCCTGGCTCTGCACTCAGGATTCACTCCTGGCATGCTTGGGAGAGCATATGGGATGCCGGGGCTCAAACCCCAGGTTTGAGGGCCGCGCCCAAGGCAAAGACCCTCCCCACTGGACTACTGCTCCGGCTCCATGACCCTACCTTTTTACAACTCACCCTACATGTCATAAAGACAGAATTTATAAGGACAGGGAAAATCAACTAATTCCTCTGTAGTTCATACAACTGTTCGAGTAAATACTGTACCCAGAGTTCACTGCCTAACATGTGGGACTGTCCAAAGGGTGAGCCGACTACAGGCCCTTGCAAATGGCCTCCTAAGAGCCATATTGGGCTGCACTCCAGGCCCCCTGGCTGAGAGACGGTGACGGGAACTAGGGGGAGGTTCATTTGCTCTATGGAGGAGGGGAGAGCTGATGCATCAGTCCTTCCAGTTTACAAGATTCTTCCCATTTAAACAAGCCCGAAAACAGAGTAACACCTGTACCATTACTTTGTTTGCTTTTTTTTTGTGATACAGAGAAACTGAAAGGTTAGGAAGAATTTCTAACTTGATGTATAATCCTACAATTTCTATTCCTTTTTATTTCGTGTTTTAGAAAAACTGTTCTATTAATTTTTTTGAAAACTTTTTTATTATGGAAGCAGTGTAGGACACTACAGTTCGCTGTGAAATCACGGTCTAGTCCTAAAAAAGTGTATTTAGCAACGGGGATTACAAAAGCACTTTGGTCTATTACCTTTTAGCCACCAGGTGGCGATCTTTCACTTCCGAACGCTCGAACCAGACATGGGGACAGGACTTGACCATGGCTCTCTGGATCACACCCATGAGGCCTCCGTGCACTTGGCCCACCTAATCGCAGACCAAAGAACAGATACAAATGCTCAGCAGACGCGGGAAGCCCGGCTCCTGCAAGCTGCGTACCCCAATCTCTCATCTGCCAACATCTGACTGGGAACCTTTTTTCTCACTGTCAGCCGGGAACCTTCAACCCCACATGACGACTGGGTAGATGCCCCGTTGAAAACCCTACAGGAAAGCACCTTGCGTAAGCACTGCCCCCTGGCAGACTCTACACCACCCTCTCCTGGGTCGAACCACAAACCGCACTCTGACGCTGCTCAGGCCCTCTGGGACCTGAGCTGCCCGTCACGACAAGAGGGGCCCACAGCAGAACACGAGTCTGCCTGCGGTCCCCTGAGAAAGCCCTACGGAGAGGCAGACTCCCCCTGGAGTGCCGAGGCACAGGGAGCCTGAGGGGTGCCTTAAGATAATGGTGCAGGAAAGGAACACTCCCGTAGGGGGCAGTGTTGCAACACTGTATTCCTGTCACCCTCTCATTAAGAGTGTTACCCTAATATAGACTGACTATGAATTAAAAAAAAAAAAAATTAAAAAATTCCAGCCCCCAGAAGTCTGAAGTAACAAGTCTCGCCTCAAGAAAGAACATAAGGGTCTTACCATGGCATAATAACCATCACTTGCCAAAATGATGACATCAATGGGAGAGGTATGGTTGGCCACACAGATGCCACCGTTTCTGGGCCTATTTTTCCTGTGTTGAAAATGTCCACAAAACAAGAACAGTGAGTGTGAAGCCATTTCTCTGCAATCACCTTGCCCTCGCCAGCTGAATCAGTGCTAAGTGAAGCTCAGAAGAGCCCCCTGAGCAGGCCGCAGTTGGATCTAGCCAGCCTCACTGCCCTCCGCGTCACACCGTCCCCTCACCTGTCGTGGTACGTGATGATGGCTGTGAGGGCCCGCACACAGATCCGGTAGCACATCAAGTGAACGTGTCTGCTGAGGAACTCCTTAAATCTGCAACATGACAGATTGTTTTTCCCCCTTTAATTTTACAGACAGGAAGATAAAACAGCTAACTCTAACATCTTGGTATTACTGCCAGACTGTTAAAATTACTGTCAAGTATTTTTATAATTGTATCTGATAGAAATCATACCAAGTATTGGAATTCTAATGTCACAAGTGAGAAAATGAAGAAACAGTGTGTTGCTTTACGTGCCAAGCACCAGCCAGGGGTCCAGTGGAGCACTCGCCTTGTTACAGGCTGGTGTCACCCAACTGTGGCATCTCTGGCTGTGGTCTCCAAATAATTTTTAAAAGGAAATATCTATAGTTCTAGAACATCCTGGCCAAGTATGTCTCCTCGCTTTCCCAGTCAACAGCAAGAGGCAGAGGAAGGTCAAGCCCTTCACCCATCTGATGTGCTGGATCCAGAACTTCCCAGGAGCAAGACAACACACTTGAGCTCATTTCCTATCATTTTACCAATTTATCAACACAAAATGCCCCAAACTAAATGCCCCAAACAAGGCTATTCCTTTTTTTTTCTTCTTTAAAACAAGAGTATGAGGGTTAGGAGAGCAAAACAAACCTACAACTCGCAAATTATAGTGTTAAAACAGAAAATACAAGATCTTAATGTCGACGCCACAGCTGTCACTTGAGTTAGCTTGCCCACCTATGATTCTGCGGATCTGCTGTACCCAAGGAAGCTTCGGAGTGGCCATTCCCAGAACCCAGTGCCCCAGATGGGATGTGTGGGCTACTCACCTCCCACTCGGCATGTACCCTACCACCGTCGTGCCCACCACCAGGAGGCTGATCCCCGTGAAAGCAAGAGCGACCCTGTAACAATACGACAAGAAAAATTCAGCGAGTTAAGTCCTCGCACCAGGTACAGAAGTGAATGTGTGAAAATCAAAGAGACCATCAAAAAAGCGAGAGGTGGTCACCTGGAGAGCAAGAGGCGATCAGAGTAAGAATCCACCCAGAAAGGGGAACAGACGTATAAAAACCAGAGGCCCAGCTCTAGTCTGGATTTGGATTCCTAAGTAACAGTGCGTTTGGCTCTCAGCATCCAGCCAGAACGCTGGGCCCTGCCGTCCTGCTGTGTCACCTCTCCCTTTGGCTCTAAACCCTGGCTGCTCTGTGGGACAACAGGAAACAGAGCCTGAGAGGACCAGCATCCATGGAGATAATACTAACAATAGCACAGGACACAGAGAACGGAGAGGGCAACCTTGTCTCTGTACGAGAGGCAGGCTGTAGGGAGAATCAGTTATTTCCGGGGGAAGTGGCCAAAAGCACGCTGTGTGCCCGGATCTGTGGTTGGCCCATCTGCAGCAGGCAATCTGTCCTGAAGGCATGCCATTATTTTTGTCTTGCATGCAGGCTCAGCCAGCACAGAAACCCAACAGGGGAGCCCAGGGCAGCTGACCAGCACGGGCCCGGCCCTCACCTGAGTGGCAGCAGGAAGCAATAGCGAATCAGCACTCCTAGCCCCCACAGCACAGTGAGCCGGAGGCTGATGTACTGGAAGTTGTAGTTGGTTCTGCTCAGCAGGTTCCACGACTCCAGCTCCTCTGCAGAGAATCTCTTTGTCACCTCATCATCCATAATGGTCTCCATTCCTTTCCGGCAAAAGTAGAAAATGTCGGACAGCTCAAACTCCGGAGTATTATCCAGAGCCTTACTACTGCCACTCCGACGAATTTCTTTGATCTCTTCTTCAAGTGAAGTCGGATCTTTTGCAATGATTCCTGCAAAATGGAACACTTCTGCCAATGACTGCGCTGTCACATAGCCCGCTCAAACTGCTCAGGTACACAGTCTAACTTTTAAGTAATGGTGCGTAAATACTAAATTAAACGCACCGAGGAGGTATTTCCCTGAGACTTCAGTTCAAGATACGGGTCAAGACTTGACTCACCATTGGTATAGGGCTTGTAGAGTGGGTGGTTCTTCTCCTTGGCGCCTCTCTCCATTCTCAAGGTAGCCCACTGCGGGGAGGGGTGGAAGGGAGGAGAGCAACAAGCAAGAATGAGCGAGATTTCCATTTAGCAAACATCCCTGCTTCTGACGTGTGAAAGACTCAAGTCCACATGAGAAGACCTCAGTGCCTGAATCAGACTGGCCAAGAAAATACACATTTGGGCCAGAGAGCCAGAATATAGGAGGTAAGGCACTCACATGTACGAGTCGAACCTGGATTCCATCCCGCTACCCCATATGGTCTCCAGCACCCCCAACAGTGATGCCTGAGCACAGAATCAGGAGTCAGGCCTGAGCACCGCTGGTGTGGCCCCCAAACAAAAACAAAGCACATATCTAAAAGGAAACTCAGCCTTTTGTTCATGGAGCATACCTAGGGCCAAAGGTTAAGAGCTGCAAGACCCAGGAATGGGGTTCTCACACCTTCACTGCCTAAAATCTGTCTGCGGGTTACTTGGAACTCACGTGTAACATAACAGCACACTGACTTAACATGGTCCCCATCCACTGCCCAAATAAAATCAATTCACAAACAGCAGGTCACTAAACTCTTTCTTTGGTGTGGGGGGGGGGGGGGGGGGAGGGGATGGGACACACGACACACCCTGGTGGTAGTCAGGGCTTATCCCGGCAGTGCTCAGGGGCCCATATGAGGTGACAGGAACGGAATTCGGGTCGACAGCATGAAACGTGGGCGACATCCTTCCTGTGCTGTCTTGGGCCCCCAGAATTAAGCATCTTTTTAAGCTAATGCCTACCACCCAAGGTTGCCTATCTTCCCAAATATTCCCCAAAGCAACAATTCTTTTTTTTTTTTTCTTTTTTTGGCTGGGGAACAAAACTGATGGTGTTTGGGAGACCCGTCATGCGCTGCTGCACTCCAGTCTGAGACATGCCCCAGTCCCAGCTCCTAACCGAGAAAAGACAAACAAAACATCATGTCCTGGACTGTCCACACAACCTGACATTGCCTTTCAATATAACTAACCAATAAAAAGGTCAGAAGGTTCAGATTTGTTCTTCAAAGTTTTCTGTTTTATTTTAAAACAAGTTAAACAAACACCCACACTATTTGAAGTTTTTTTAAAATCTGGGCTCAAAGTCCCTTATGTTAATCCCTAATCTGTGGATACTGTCTATCTTAAAAAAAAAAAAAAGACTAATCCGTTTATCAATCTCCTACTTCAGGAGCCCACTTAGGATCAAGTGAAATGATACCTTAAATTGTGCTTATTACTACTAAAATAATAAACTCTAGAAGAAACATAAAAAAAGTTTTATCTTGAAACTTCTCTACCTTCATTAAAATTCTTTTAACAGGGGACGGAGCTATAATATTGAGAGCTGGGTGCTTGCCTTGCGAGCAGCCAACCTGGGTTTGAACTCTGGCACCCCATATGGTCCCTGAGCCCCACTTGGAATGATCCCTGAGCACAGAACAGGAGCAATGAGCACTGCCAGGTGTCATCCAAAACAACAATAAGAAAAAAATAAATTCTTCTAACATAGTAGGAGAGTCAGGCTAGCTACCTCCCACTATCAAATGAGAGGAAAAAAGCATAAAGTTAACTGTTTCCAATTAGAATGTTATCAAATATAATGTATGCTCACAATGATTCATAGAACAAATATTTTAAAAGGGGTCTCTTCAAGCTTCTGCTTCAAGTTATGCAAGGCAGAAAGAAACCTGTTATGTTCCATGACACAGCAAATCCACAGGGCCCAAGGCATTTGGTGCTGATTTGCTGGCAGAGCTAAAGTTTCGGCAAGACGGCTGTGCACAGTCAAGCTGAGAAAAGGCAGCTCACAGTCTGCTCTCATCTGGGCATTCAGACCAGAGACCGCTGTCCAGGAGAAAACAAGGCACTGACTCACCCACTCAAAGAAGGCTGACAACAAGAAACTGCCATTGTTTATATTGCCAGTGCTTCTACTGGTCAAGGTTCTGAGCTGTTAATGCAAGCCAAGTCACGCTCAGAAGCACTCCATCTGGCACTGGTAATTCTGACACCGAGAAGGGACTGCAAAAGACAGATAACGGGGACCTTGCTCCCCTGGCACACTTGAGGCCCTTGGCTTCTACGCTGATGAGCAGACTGCTGGACCGTTGAAGGAGATGCTCTCGTATAAAGTTATCACTCTATCACCAAACAGACACTCTCCTATGTGAATTCTGTGTTTTCTTTTTTCTCTTGGTTTTTGCCCACACGCAGAGATGTTTAGGGATTATTCTTGGCTCTGCACTTAAGAATCACTCCTGGCGGTGCTGGGGGACCACATAGGATCCCAGGGATTGAACCTAGATTGGCTGCATGCCAGATTTGTGCCCTACCCACTGTACTGTCTCTCAATCCCATGTGTTTTACTTTTTCAAACTTCAGGCATATTACAAAATGCTTCTGCATTGCGGGGGTCTGCAGGGTCACACCTCGCGGTGCTCTGGGATCATTCCTGGCAGGCTCAGGGGACCATATGGGGCGCTGGGGATTGAACCCAGGTTGGCAGTGAGAAAGGCAAGCACCTTACCTGGTTGTACTTATCACTCTGGCCCCAATGCTTCTGTATTTAAATAAATAATTTTTTTTTAAAAAAAGGTTAAAAGTCATCGAGTTGGGAAAGAGAGGGCAAGGGTTGGGCAAAGCTGTTACTGGAAATGCCCTGCTGTGGAATGGCTGACGGTGAGCCTGATCACTTTACTCGATGCGGACTGAATGACAGTAGCACAGCGAGCCCCTGACACACAACACACTTCTGGGGGGCTGTCACTTTACGAAGGATAGTGTTCAGATGCCTCAAATAATACTGAGAATTCTAGGCTCAGAATTCCTTTACAAGAAGTCTGCTCCCACCACCTCTGAAGCCGTTTATTAAGCTAGTGAACATCAAACTTCGTGATTATCCCCTTTCCAGCTCCTCCCAGACAAAAAGGAGACCGTTTATGAAATTAACAATGCTGCTCTCTTAGGTAACATTCTGCACAGTGCAGACACTGGTGAAACGCAGGCCAGGCCTTAGAAATGCAGATGCTGCATTCTGGCTAGTTATTCATTACAGTGAATAACTTAAGTACTTGAGTAAGGTCTTGTGGTTTGAGCAACACTTTAATTTCAACAGAGCTCTTACCCCACCATAAACACACTTTTCAGTCAGCCTCCATGGAGATACCACAGGAATCCAGACCCTTCAAAGCCTCAGGCGCCCAATATTCATCACTAATTTCCCCCACAAAGACCAACTCTCTTCCCTCTCCTGGCTTCAGCTGCAATCTCAGGCGGCCCTGATCAAATTCATGTCTTTGATCACTTCTTGATTTCAAAATAAAAGTGCCAACTGCACATTTCCAATCATGTGTTAGGCTCCAATTCCAACCACTTCACACATGGAGAAGCAAAAGCAGCACGTGGCCTCCCCAGCCACCCACTCCCTAAACCTCCTCTGACGGCCCCACCTGTCACCAAGGTCTAGGATGCTCCCCAGAAATCTCTCCCCAGCCATTGCCCCCGACTGCCTCTTGCGCTGTCCACACACCCACTCATGGCTTCATTCTCTTATCTACACTGAATCAACAGCTACTTAATGGCTTTTCCCACCCTCCAATCCATCTGAATGTTACATACTGCCAACTTGACCAAAACTTCCTCGCTCAAAAACCTTCAATGTTTAAACTCCTCAGTATTTAAAGAAAAACAGTTGTGGCTGGAGTGATGGGCCGGAGTGATAGCACAGAGAGGGTGTTTGCCTTGCATGCAGCCAATCTGGGTTCGATCCTTGGCATCCCATATGGTCCCGAGCACCGCCAGGATTAATACCTGAGTGCAGAGACAGGAGTAACCCCTGTGCATCGCCGGTGTGACCCAAAAGGCCAAAAAATAAATAAATGGTGTTTTAGAACCTAATTTTTTCAGATACTAGTATTTTTGCTCTGCTGAACTACATACTATCTAAAACAAGATTGTCCTTTCTCCTCTTCATCACACTTCTTTAAAATTCTTTAAAATTCAGCTGAAGTGCCATGAATGAAGTTATCTACCTACCCCATTCCTGCAGTTATCCAGCTGCCTGTCATCTGAGCTGGCACCACAGTCTGCATTATACATGTGTATATTTGTCTTTCCTACTAAACACCATAAGGGATAGAGCCTATACTTACATCCCAACACAGTCTGACAGTGAGGTCAGTAAGGACTACATTGGCATTTTATTTTTATTTCACTTATTTTTGCATTTTGGGTCACACCTGACCATGCTCACGGCTACTCCTTGCTCTGCACTCAGAAATTATTCCTGGTGGTGCTTGGAGGACCATAGGAGATGCCAGGAATTGAACACCAGGCAAACACCTCCCCAGTGTGCTACTTGAGTTCTCCTAAGGACTACATTTACTTCCCAGTGATTCTCTTTATCAAGGTCTCCACAGACAAAGACAGGCCTAAGACGGGGAAACTTAAGACTTCCCTGAGCACAGACACTCTCATCTGTCACTCTGTCCTTGAAGCCCCTCAAGGGTAGGTTAAGATCACCGTTTCTCCCTCGGGCAGGCAGGATGCAGTGACTGCACTTCCCGTTTCACTTTTAAGACAAACAAGGGAAGGCAACTATTACTACCCCACTCTCGAGCAGACTGGAAAAATCTGAAGACTTAGGTGCAGGTTTCAGGATGGGAAAGAAAAGCTCTTCTTAACCCAAGTGCCTTTTAATGCCAAGATCCAAAGTCCATTACCCCACACCATCACTAAACCACCTCTTACTTCTGTGATTCCCCTGCAGCCAGTTCCGCCTTGGGTACGTTATCCATCTGCTCGTGATGGTCTCTGTGCGTTTTCTCGCCTAACCTGACTGTTCACAGCAGGCAGGAAAACGTACGTGGGCCATCACCTCTCACCCCAGCTTCCCCCGACCCTTTGCACACCATCCTGAAGTCAGCTGAAAGTACACTCCTAGGACTTACACCCAAAATAATACCATCTCCACAGTGCCGAGGGAAAATCTAAATCTAGAAAACGCTGCC